CCGAGGCTGTTGGTTTCTTCATTCGAGAGGAAGGAATCGGGCGCTGAGGCGAAACCCTAGCGGGCGAAATGTGGTAGATTTTGAGGTTCCTTGTCCACTTTTGATCTCGTCTAGGTTTGGATCGGGACATCTCGATTCTATTGGTTTGTGTTCCAAGTGATCTCGAATTGTCCCCCCTCTCTCTCTCTTTCAGTTGTTCTTGTTACCGTTTGGAGCAAGAAATTTTTTAAATTTTTTATTTTTTTTAGAAAATGTTGAATTTTTCTATAAAAATATCGGTTGTATGCCACTGATTTTGTTATTGTTTGATCTCTCAGGCTTATTGACAATTATCGTCTATTGCATTCATTTGGACACTTTGGGGCTAGAAGAGTCGGGGAGTGAAGCTGTTTTTTCCTTCTTTTTCTGCTGAAGGTTTAAATTTGTTGAATAAGGTGAGTTATCATGAATTGGATCATCAAAGTCTCTACTTTGAGTTTGGGATGCTTTTATGTGCTTTTTATATCCACTGACGGCAGTTGGATAGAAGGATAAATTGGTTAACGCTTTCCAAAAATTTCAAAAGTCCCAGAAATTATGGAATTGGAGTTTCAAAATTTCATGATTAATTTCGAGCTTACCATTGATCACTTGTCTCGTTACCTTTTCTGTCAACCATTATATTCAAATCTGCAATTATTAGGATTTTTATCCCGCCCGTGCAATACCAACATCAACGATGACAACGTACCATAGACAAACACCATCATCTTAAATAGCAAATGTTAATGGCAGGCACAAATTGTTTGATAGATATGTAAAATCCAATATGATAAGGTTATGCAACAGTAGCATCCATGCTATAAGGTTTATATTATCATATAGCTGAAAGAAACTGTACTAGCAAGAGAGAAGGATTTTCCAGTTTGTGCTATGGTGGTGTGTAGTTGGATGCAATCTCCTCCTCTTCGTGGAGTCAGACATTTTTAGCTGAAAGATGTGCTAAATGGAAACCTACTTTCTCCTTTCCTGTCTCAGTTTTGTTAGATGAATGGGTGGTGTAGCTTTAACTGCTCCAGTAATTATTCATCTAAGAAGTTGAAAAGGAAGCAGATACAATATAAAGGATCTCAATAAAGTTTGTAAATGTATAGGGTATTGAAAGCTGCACCTTTCTACCCGTTAAATTCAAGCTTTTGCAACCAAGAGGCAATTTTGCAACTTTGTGAGAAGATAGAAAGGAAGGGGTTTAAGCCAGGCCCATGTTCTAGAATATTAAAACTAACTGGAAAGTTATAACTAGAGAGTAAAAATAGTTATATATTCCCAAGAATATCAATCTTTTCTCTCATATAAAAGACCTTCTGGGACTTGCTTCTGCCATTGTTTGTACCTAACTTTTGGATCTTCCGTTGGGCAACCCTGGGATAAAGTAATTATCTTCTTTCTATACTGAAACCCCAGCCTAAATTGTGAAACATACTAGCTGAAACGTGATTATCACAAGATTCACTACAAGAAATCATTGAAAATAACGGGAATGAAAGAAAACGTCCAATTGAAATAAACTCTTACTATAAAAAAATCTTTTAACTTTTGAAAATGGATGGCATATACATATTATGATGACAGGTTTCATGTCTAGTCGTAAGCTTCTAACGTGTATAAATTTTGTATTCTGTATCAATCCAGTCAGTGGAAGTCCTGATCCGACATCATTTTACCTTGAGGCATTTGGCATTTGATTGGAGTTGAGTACTTATTGAAGAGAAATGGCTTCGGAGATGGTCAATATGGCGACAAGTGAGAAGCTAAAAGAAATGGATTGGGCAAAAAGCATTGAAATTTGTGAGCTGGTCGCTCGTGATCATGGGTATACTATTTAATGTTTTTTTAAAGTATGAAAATCAGATGATAGTTTCTACAGAGCAACTATTATGAACTAAATTATGTTACCGTTGTGCAAGTTATACGTGATTTGTCCTGATTCCTTATATATTTTGAATTATCCAAAATGTTCTCTTTGTCCACTGGTTAAATCATGTGAAATTACGTCATATTAAGACATACTTCTTTCTTTTTGAATTCATTATTAGGACTTACTGTCTAGTATCTAAATGAGTCTGATGTTTGAGCAGGCAGGCCAAAGGTGTTATCAAATCCATAAAGAAAAAACTGGGGAACAAAAATCCAAATACTCAACTGTATGCTGTCATGGTGAGCACCAAATGTTTCTTTACATTTATATTTGTTGTTGCAGGAAACATTCATAAAGTTCTTGGAATTAGTAAAGATGCACAAAGTATGTTGCGGATTTTGGTCTCATGACATATGAACTGCTCTCTTTTTCAATTGTAAATAAGATGCATTTCTTGCATGTAAGCCTTAATTCTTTTTGCTACCTAAACTCAGACCACACTGCTTATGTTTCACTCCTGTAAAATCAAAGAAATTAAATAAGTATCTTGTTCACGCAATCCATGTGATAAATCAATTGGAATCTTGTCTCCATGAAGAAATGGCTGATTGTGTGTTTGACTTCTAGGATGTTTCTGTAGTAGAATGTCCTGCATTATTAAACGGAAACCAAGCTATTCTTTACCTGCTCATTAAAGAAATACTCGTTGTGCCAGACTGTGACTAGATATTTAGCACATGCTTTGCTGTACAGATAGAAATAAACTTAAAGGTATCCTTTTGGATTATGGTCAAGCAAAAGCATATTATTAAATATAAATAGATTATGTGCACATTCTTAGAAAAATATGACACATGATGCAATTATAGAATGTGAGTTTAAGTTTTAAACTTGTAGGATTTAATAAGCCAAATATAAAATGCTAATGCTAATGCTAATGCTTATTTGTGAAATACTACTTAACAATTTCATACCACGCAATAGGGTAAATAAATATACAAGTTGCCTCCCAAAAGGTTGTTGGACCCATCAAAGATTGAAAATTCTTATTGATGTATCAAAATATATTCACAACAATTTACATTTTAAAGATTGTGGGTTTCACAGAGGACTGGAACTGCTAAAGAACTTGAGGTATTTTAATAGAGACAATCCTAAAGATTAAACTTTGTAAAATCAGGAGTGAGGTGGAACAGAAAAAAAGGTAATGCAGGTGACAATATAACTTAGTTTTGGAGGAAAAGACTGCTATATTGGTTTTGGAGTAAAAATATACTTAAATCTTTCTTAAGACTCGATGAGGATGTTGTCTGTTTTATAATTTTGGTTGCATTGTTTAACAATAATTAATGTTATAAGCCTATAGCTAAATCTTAGCTGGTTCCTTATTTACTAGGTGACTGCTTTTTTGGGGAGTAATAGCAGTTCAATACTTCCATGGTATTTCTTTGAAGAATAGATGTCCACTTGATAATTTGCTGTTCCTCGCAACTACTTGGATTATATGTATTAGCAACAAAAGAACTTATAGGTTAACAATTAGCACTTCTGTTCCTCGTTTGTTCATAAAAACACTTTTGGATATGCACTTGCTCAACGTTGATGTAGTAACCATTTAAATCTTTGGGTTTACAATAAAAGCGGATACTATTACATAGTTCTTCACTATCTCAAAATCTTGTTATTATTGTACTTTTTTTTTCGGTGTGTTTGGTTATTAGGGGTGAGCAAATGGTCGGTCGGCTAGTTTTAACCACTTCTTATTCAAGCCGAATGGAAACCGCTCAAGAGATGAAATTGAACCGAACCGAACCGAGTTATTTCTGTTCGGTTTGGCCAGTTTTCGATTGTCATAGACTCTGTCTCCGAAGGGTTGCGTCACTGTGAGCGAACAATATTACCATTGTGGTAATAGGAAGAAAATAGTCAAAAAAAGATTTAAGAAAGTGGAGATTAAAACAGAAGAGGAGCAAGGAGATGACCATGGAGTTTGAGAAAGAAAAGTGCCATGGTGCTTTGGGAGGATTGGCATTGGGAAAGGAATGAAGGTGGGACCCATGATATTGTCTATTCCCCATTTGATGAGAGCTTGAGAGGTGGGACCCGTGACTCAATTTCCCCATTTGATGACAGCTTGCAGCTAGTTGGCAAGAACTAAGAGGTAACTTTGGAAATTTAAATGGGTGCATTAGGAGGGGTCCGCAGTGTGTTCAGAAGAAGTGTTATTGTGGAACTGTAACTGAATGCATCGGTGGGCCACCAAGTAATTGGGTGATGGAGTATTTTTTGGGATGTTCATGAAGGTCGGTTGGTTCAGTTCAGACCCCTTTATAAACAGTACACTCGACACAAACCGAAAACAAAATAAAAACCGAACCGAACCGCTTAAAATCGGGCGGTTCAGTTGGTTTAGTCGGCTCGGTCCATATTTTGCTCATCCCTAGGGCTTATTATTATACGTTCAAGATGTGCAAACTGCAAAAGGGCTGTATGTGTTGGCAAGCCCATATTCTTAAGTAATCTCTTAGTTTAATCACGTATGGGGCTAGGACCTCAACTTGGCGGCTAGGCCTTGCCTAAGCTGAGGAACAGAAGGAACTCACCTAGCCTTTTGTAAGTTTCCAAAAAAAGAAAAAAATGCACTTTGTTTGAGACTCTGAAGGTATAAATTATTCTCATAAGAAAGCATATTTAGGGAATATCATATCCTTTAAATTTAAGTTCTGAGTTTGAAATCTTCTGCGATGGTGGCTTGGTATAGGAACTGGAGTAATGCTTTTTGCACGATTTAACTGAAATGTGATGTCAATAATCATGGATAGTTGTTTAAGATGCTGAGGATGTTGGAGCATGGGAGATTGACACTCGACGCAGATACTCTCTTGACTCATATACTCTTTCAAAGATAAAACCATGTTAACACGCAATAAGTGTAGGATATATATTGTAAATTATCAAGAGAGCTACATTCCTTGGACAACTGTGCAGATTTATGAGTGTTAATCTTCAACATTAAAGAGATTGATTCAGGTGCATATGGGTATGAGTTTTGGTACTTCGCAGTTTCTTTAACATCTCATGCAATCCGAGGCAATAAACATGTATACTCTACGTCAAAAAATGTGCTAGCATATTGAGCAGGTGCATACTGGATCACATGTACATATGGTATTTTTTCCCCCTTAAAGAAGAAAAATATAGTATTATGATAGAATGATGCAAATTAATCAAATCATATAACATGGCAAGAATATTTGCAAGTATATTTAGAAATTAGAATTGATACTAACACATAGTTGCATACAAAGATACATTTAAAAGTCCCTTCTTCCACACGCAAACTTCAAATTTGTGGTGAGGGTTAAAGCATATGTTGTTATACTCTAACATGCCTTCATAAATTGAGCATCCTTTACATGGACCAATATCTGGCCTATTTCGCGTAGCCATAACCTTTTTTGTAAATTCTCTTTAATTGCTTCATTGGTATTGTTAACAATCTCTTCCACAACACTAAATCTCTATAGTCGTAGCGATTGTTGGGGGTTATAATTCTAAACTCTTTTTAGATATTAATAAACCAGAATGACATGGCATTGTAGAAATATAATAACAAGGGATTATTGCAAAACAACTTATCAATGTTACAGAAAGTACTAGGCAGACTAGGTGTTTGAGCTGGTGCTTAGATGCCTAGGCAGCTTTTAGGTGTTTGTCTATTTTTAAAATTATTTAATTATAATAATTGACAAAAACATGAATTAAATTCATATAAAAATTACAAAAAACAATGATTAAGCTAAAATTGAACAAAATTAACTAATTATACTAAGAAATTGTGGGGAGGAGACTGAAGGAGCGGGTTTTTGGGAGGAGAGAAGGAGCGGAGGCGAATTGTGGTGAGAGCAGAGGTATAGGACGGGTTTAGCTGAGATAGGAGGCGCTGAGGAGAGCTATTTTTTCCTTTCTTTTAGAGAACAGAGAGGCAAAGAGATGGGATTGATCGAGTGATAGAGAGAGGGAGGGAGAGAGAGGGCGAGAGGGCTTTTATGTTAAGTTCGTGTGGTTTCAGGTTGGGTTATGTGTGTGGGTCGGGTTTATTATTAATTTTTGTTTTTTTTTGTTTGGGCTAGAGTCCAAGTTGGGCCGAAAACATCTTGTTTTTTTAAAAACAAAAGCTAGGTTGTTAGCCTAGCCCTAGGCCATGCCTATGAGCTGGTGGTTCCACCACCTAGATTGGCCGCTCAGGCCAATTCTAGGCGGTTGGAGGGCCACCTACGCCTAGGCGGATGCCCGCTTTTTAGAACATTGCAACTTATTAATAGCAAGTGGAGATGACAAGTCTAATCAAGTCTAAGCCTATTTATAAACTAAATTATGAATAACGCAATGATAATATGTGAATGTTAAAAATCTTAACATAATATGAGACTGCATATTGAAATGCTCGCATGTGCTAGCACATATACAATATTCCCATATAATTCTCTGCGTGTGCAGCAACACTCCCTAGGCTGAATCGAAGTATTTATTAAAATGTACATGTTGAGCTGCTATGTATACGTATATCTCTGCATGTGTATCTAATAGCATCATTTGTCATGACATGGATACTCATAAGAGAGAGAAAAATTTTAACTACAAAATTTTTGTTTCTTTCTTGGCATTAGTTATTAAATCCTATTGCGAAGTATATATTTTAAAACTTCAAATAAGATATAACATATGGATTAGCTATAATAGGTAAGAAAATGTTATTCACATGTTTAGGTTTTTCAACATTTGAACTTTAGTACTCTAGGACTCTTCCATCTGTGATCTTGAATTGTCACCTTAAAAAATAGAGTTCGCCAACATTAATATTGAATTATTTGACCTGGTAAACTAATTATCTTAAAAAAAGCTAGCAGCAAAGCCAAGTTTACACAATATGTACATGTGTGTCGCCACATGTGTAGCTAAAACTATTTTTTTCATAATGTGGATATTAATAAGAGAGAAAGATTTTAAGTACCAAAATTTTGTTTCTTTGCTGAATTGGTTATTAAATCCAATTATGAATTACATTTAAAACTTCAAATAAGATCTAACAAGTTGATTAGCTATAACAGGTAAGAAAATATAACTAAGAGGCTTTGGTTTTTCGGCATTTGACCTTTAGTACTCTAGGAGTCTTCCACGTGTGCTCTCGGTTATTCATCTTGAAAAATAAAGATGAATTCCTGAAATAGCGATTGCAAATGTTAAGGTTTTAAATATCTGTTATCGAGGATTTATCGGACGGTCAAGATCCATGTCGGATAGCCGATATTGGGGATAAGTAATATTTATCGAAGTAACATTACCAGATGGTGATGTTCATAATATGATATTCTAAAATGTAATCTAATGATACTTAATGAAATATAAACACACTAAAATATAAATAATTATGTTTAGGATCACTAACTAATGGTAGAAACTCAGGTTGGCTCAGGTTTAAAATGCACTGAATAGGTGTCCGTTGCCCAAATTCAAAACTTAAACCAAAGGCCGATAATTTTGATTTTTAGGCCAATAATATCAACTGATAACTCACTTTATTGTTGAATTATTGGCGACAAACATCTAAAACGATAACCGATTTAGAATCAAACTTATCATAGCAGAAGGCCCCAAAACCGATAAGTCGCTGATAATATCAGTTTATTGGCCAATATTTAAAACATTGGCAAATATTAATGCTCAAATATTTGACCTAGTAAACTAAAAAAGAAACCTAACAACGAACCCAAGTTTACACGATATTTACACATGTCACCCCACATGTAGTTAAAACCATCATTTGTCATAATGTGGTCCATAATAAGATAAGATTTTAACTACCAAAATTTTATTTCTATGTTGGCAGTAGTTATTAAATCCGATTTTGAAGTACATTTATAACTTTAACTAAGATATAACATATGGAATAGCTATAACTGATAGGATAAGTTTTTCGGCATTTCAAATAAAATATAACTTCAAATAAGATTTAACAAGTGAGAAGTATAATTGATGGGATAAGTCTTTCGGTATTTGATCTTCAGTACTATAGGAGTCTTCCATTTGTGTTCTTGATTTTATCATCTTAAAAAAACAAGAAGGATTCCCAAAATAGCGATTGCCAACATTAATACTGAAATGTTTGACCTGGTAAACTAAAAAAGAAACCTAGCAACAAAGCCAAGCTTATACAATATGTATAAACTAAGGAGGCAAGAGATCAAAGTTAAATATGATTCTATTTGTCACTTTCCACTTTATAAAAATACTATATCAGCAAATTTATAAATGTGAAATCTAATACAGAGAATTTTTTATGTCAACTTAAGTGGACCATCCACTAAACTTTCTATCCATTGATGATACCTAGGGATCCATGCAAGATATGAAGAGACTTTTTTTATATATATATGAGTTGATAGAAAGTTTGGTGGACAAAGGCCTTTTGTCCACTTAAGTTGACATAAGTTCGCCTCATCTAATGCATTGGATTTTTTAGAAACTTCATCGACTTTTCTCTTATTAGGCAAAATTCATTTATTTCTCTTTGGGGTGGTTTAACCCAAGGAGCAGGAACCTCCATTCTAAACCTTCTTGGAGGATTCCATCACTAACACAGTGTTTATCCAACGGTCTTCAATGAAAATTATTTTGTTACATCTCTGTGATTTGAAATTGAACTTATTTGATAAAAACTTGTGAACATAAAAAAATAAATGTTTTTTTGGGAAAGTTCACTAACTGTTAAACCTAATTTAGCTTTTCTATTTTTCTGTATCAGTAACTGGCAGAGTAGTACTCTTTGCATGTGTGTAACTTTTGTAAACTTAAGTGGATAAGAGCACATTGTACACCAATTTTTAAATCCATTAACTTTGCTCTGGAATTTGTGTTGCATGTTAAGACTATCTTTGAGATATGTGTCTTTATATATGTCACATGCTAGTATAAATCTCAAAACGAAATCAACGGATGAAAAAAAATTGGTGGACAAGTGCTCCAATCAACTTAAGTTTACAAGAGCTTTACTCTCTATATATATATGATGCACCCTCACCCCTCCTCTTTCTGCCCCTCTTTCTCCCTCCTCCCCTCCCTCTGAGCACGTGCATGTAGCCACATCTATATCCTCAACAACTGAATAATCCTTGTTGTTGATGATATGGTCAGTTACTATGTTACCTGGGTACTTCTACTTTAAAGTCATACCCGTAGCGGACACTTACCCGTACTCATACCCAAACTCCTTGGACGCTCCATGCATATATGCATACATCTATTGGGGCATGTACTTAGTTATACTATACATGTTTTAATTTAAAACAAATTTTATGTATTTTTTTGACATATATCCTACACTTCACATCCACTTCTTGAAGTTGTTGGACATAGATCAGGTTCCGAATTACGATTTTGAAGGATCGTTTAGATGTCTAGTGCAAAAACTAGTGATTTTTCCATTTATAATCCACATAAAAAAAGAAACATAAAATGTTATGGGAAATTTAATTGTCATCCTTTTTCTCATATAAATTATTCATTCCAATATATAATATATATTTATATAAATATTTATATAGTTGTGTCCTTGTACCCTACCTTTTACAGATTTGCCGTGTCCTATACCTGTACCGGTATCTGTACCTGTACCCATACAACATAGGTTGTACCTATACCCATGCAACATAGGTTAGTATGTTTGTACAAATTTGCTAAGACAAACTTTCATGATTATGTCAATTTGATTCTCTTTTTTTCAAAGATTATGTTCCATGTTTAGTTAAGATAATGACCATCCTTGTGTTGATATCGTTATGCTTGATAGATTAACCTAAGATGATAGGTAGACCCTTGGAATATTTTCTTCCTTTTTATGTTTATGTATTTTGATTACATACTGTTCTGCACTTGTCTTTTCTGGAAATGGTGCTCCTTTCATTAACGCCTTATGATTGGTCTCTTTAATTGTAAATTGCCTTATGATTGGTCTCTTTAATTGTAAACTGTTAAAACATATTGTTCTGGTTGAGTTTCTGTCGCACCTTTGAAATTTTTTCTACATATATTTTTTTATTAAACTACATGTTGCCAAAACTAAAGTTTGCTAATTATGCAGGAGTAGATGTGGTTCATCTTTTAAACTATTTCTTTGTCTTGCAGTTGTTAGAAATGCTAATGAATAATTGTGGTGAGCATATTCATAAACAAGTGATTGATAACGGACTTCTTCCAACACTTGTGAAGATAGTGAAGAAAAAGGTGAATTATATTTGTTGGTTACAAACATTTCACGTTCGTAATCATTTTTATTCCTAGTTGATAGTGTTGATCATTCTTTTCTGTCTTGTTCAGACAGATTTGCCAGTTCGTGAGAGGATTTTTCTTCTTCTGGATGCCACTCAGACAGCCCTTGGTGGTGCTTCTGGGAAATTCCCTCAGTATTATGCTGCATACTATGACTTGGTGGTAGGTACTACAAGACTACATGAATTCGAATGCAACAATTTCTGTCACATTTTCACTGAATGTTATTTTATCATTTTTTGTTGTCCAAGTGCGTTTCTGGACATTTAGTAGTTGACATATTTCTCCATTTATTAATCATCCTGTTACATTTCTTAGAGCTGTTATTGGATCATCTTAGTGAAACCTACTTATTTCAGTGTTGCTGTATTATTCTTGATTCTGTCATAGGTTCGTTCTGCCACACCAGAACTCCGCAGAACTTGTAAAAGGTCGAAGTTGAGGGTTGAGACATTAGTTTTATATTCTAACATGCTCTTGCAGCTTGAGCACCCTTTTTGTTGGTTGAAACCTGGACTTACGTAGTGATATCTTTTTTTTCTTTCAAATATCCACTTTAATATGTGGTCAGTGGGATTTGAACATGAGTTGATCTGGTACCATGTCAAGCGTCCTTTTCACTACATCCAAACTCCGAGTTGTGGTGAGGGTTATAATTTTATATTCTAACAGATTCCATATGAGGTTGTATCGGCCTGATTCTACTATTTTTGTTACACTTTCTCCATGACGCTTCTGCATTACCAAAATTGTTTCAGTTTGTTCCCAAGGACTCGGGAAGTAAAAAGAGGAAAGAACAGGAAGAGAAATTCTACGATTAGTGGTCGGTTAATGCTTTTCTGTAAAACGTTATCCATGAGTTTTGATAATTCAAAAGTCTTAGTAATCTTGAAATAGTTCTCTTCTAACAATTTTTTTCTTTCACATCTTGATACATATGAGGGATTCTGAATCAATATTTTCGTTTATGCATAGGAAGTTGCATAACTTTCCTTTGTAATGTGAAATTTTTCTACCACCCTTTTGCAGGCTTATATTCACTTTTCATGATGATTTACCTTTTTGAGCAAAGACTGCTTCTGCAGAAGTAGATATTAGAAGACCAGAGAGGGGGTTTTATCGTCAATCTCGATTGACGTAGCAGCGGTTTCATGAACAATGTCTCTAGAAGCAAGTTTTCTTTATGGTTATAAAGCATAATATACACGTTCTTGTCTAAATAGAGATTCGTTTCGCTAATGGCCAATCTCGATTAGAATAGATCAACATAATGTCATAATAGGAGTTTTATCAAGAAAGAAGGAATCTTTCTTGTGGATGATTTCACAATCTTCGTCACTAAGAAGTCCTTATCACACTTAAGGAAAGCACAGTGTATCTTTTCCCTGGCCATATGCATGTTGATTTGCAAAATCACTTAACACAGCCATGCACCTACTTGCACCTTTTTTATTATTTGGTTATGGTTTCATTCAAGGGATTGGCTTTTCATGCTTATTTTACAAGGCCACTTTTATAGGTGTCATCAGTTTACACCTTTCAACTAACAAATGTATTGTTCTTGGGAACTCTTAAATGTCAACTTTTGTTTAAAGCAGTTTCATCATGATAAGTGGTTGAAACCATGAAACATCTTCATGAAAGTCCAATAGATTCTATCCTTGAGTGAAAAATATATCATTACTCAGGATTCTTCGTTTATCCTTTGAGAATATGTAATCAATAAGCTGATTCAGGTATTTGAACTAGAGTGGGAAGCCAACCTATTAGACATAATATTTGGATTCCAGTTTATGACATTCCTAGGGTGTGGTTTTTAGTCTTATGAGTTTGGCATGCACGTTTGCTTTTTTAAGAGGCATTGTTTTTTTTTCTAAAGTACACACTTTCTAACTCTAGTATGAATCTTTTCCAGTCTGCAAGGGTTCAATTTCCACAACGTTCTCATGTTCCACCACCCGGACCACCCCCCAAGTCACAGGCAAAAAGTTTACCAGCAAAGGATTCACATTTACAAAATGGAGGCAATGGTGAAAAACAGCCAGCAGCCCAGATTGTTCCTGATTCAAGGTAGTTCATCCTTTCCTTAGCTTATTTAATATACCCTCCTTCGATGTTGACTCTTTCTCCTATTCTTTTGCTAATCTTTAGGTAAGTAAGAGTTTGTATATTTTTCAAGCAAGAAATCTGAGCGGAGAATTTTTGCAGTGATTTCAGAACATATTTATCATACCTACTTTATTATTGCTTTAAATATTTGCATTTTTTAAATGCCCATAGCTTGAAAGCATCTAAATTTGATATATTCAACTGGATTAAAAACTTGGGATGTTTTATGAGCTATAATGCTTTTACTGTTATTTAAAACAAGGTGAATTATAAATTGAAAACTTCTAGGAAATTGTGTGTATTAATAGCAGTATTAATTGTAGCTTTTCCTTTTTAAATAATTGTTCACTCTTCCGTTGATTTATATGTATGTAGAAATATTTAAGTTCTTCCATATATGTGCATTAAAATATGTGAAGCCTTCAATGTTTGATGTTCATTTTTTCTTACTATTTTTTTTCCTATACCAGACATGAGTTTATATTTTTATTGCTCTCATGTATCTATTTATTCTTTGAATTCTGTTTCATGCTCCTTCTGGATACTATTCAAATATGGATATCATTTATGAAGTATATCCATATTTATATCTGCGATCAGAAAACAACTGTGAATTTGCAATGCCCATATCTCCTATCTGATCCATATCCCATTCAAATGCATTCTATCATTTATACTGGATACTACATGTCTTTATTCATGTAAGATACTTGCTTGAGCACAACCTCCAAAATCAGGCATCTTTACTTGTTAAAGAATATGCATGTCTTTTTCAGTAAAAGTATATATTATGCTTGGAACATATTTATAAATGAACATATTATAGTTCAGTCCTCATGTTAGCTTTTAAGTTTTGTGGAACTAAATGATTCATTGAATTTCATCCCATGCGCGTTTGCATCTGCATCTAAATATGTCATGCACAGCATGCTGACGTGGTTGACATTCTTTGATGATTCCTGGTATTGATTGATTTAATGCATATGATAGACCTAATTACTTCGTCCAAACCTTAATTGTTATTAAACTAGGCTAAATTATAAGTTGATTAAACAAATTGGTTGTGATTATTGATACATAATCATATTCCGTGTAAAGGTGATACTATTTGTATGTTATAACAACATGAGGAGACAGTTAACTGAGGTTCTTTCTATACAACCCACTTGAAATGCAAGGGTACACTGATTCTTGCATTCATTGGAAATATTATATGCTAGATGCTTCCTACCTAACATGAAATCGATGGTCTGTATACCTTTTGAAAGCCATGACCCGTGCTTTCACTATACAAACATTTGGCCTCTACAACTAGAGTTGATACCCATGGTTCCAATTGCCGTTGGCTTATAATGCCCCAAATGTGACCTCATAAGAGATGGATTCTGTCAAAGTATGTATGTAATTGAGGCTTTGAGGTGGCCAAGTAGAAAGCTATGGGTCATTTAATATTCTTATGCATAAGTTGAATGCACAGAATGTTTAAAAAAGCGGGCTAGGCGCCAACCTAGGTCTTAGGAGCGCCTATGGGATCGTGAGCCACTTACCCGGACTGCACTGCTTAGGTCTTGAGATCGGCCTAGGCACCAGGCGCCTAACACTTTATGTAATATTGGCATTTATTATTTATTACTGTAACTAAAAAAAGGAAAAATACCTAGGCCCCGCCTATGTGCCTAGGCTTTAGGCACCGACACCGATGCCTAGGCCGTCTAGCACTTTCTGTAACCTTGAAGGTACGTCGAAGGTACGTCATAGAGAAAGGGTTATTTATGATGTCTGATTTATATGGTGAACTAGCCACTGTAAACATAACATGTAAAATTCTGCTTACTAACTTTCATCTGTTTCAGTATCATTCAGAAGGCCACTAGTGTCTTGGAAGTTCTGAGAGATGTGCTTAGTGCTATGGATCCTAAACATCCTGAGGTAGTAAGGCTCATTTTAATATTTCTATTTTTTTAAAATTATGTATAAGCAATAAAATAAGTAATCAAATTATAAGAAATTTCAGAGAATCATTTCTTTAAATGGAAGAATTGCTTCTTTTTTATTTGTCATTATTCATCTAATGCTGACAATGGTTGCCAATGTACTTGTGCACTTTGGCTTCTAGATTATGACAGCTACTCAGCTGTTGAGGTCCATCTCTTTATGATCAGTTTAATTTCTTTAGTCATTGTGGAATATCAGACCAGTCCATCTGTTGCCACGTAACATCACAAAGTGAACAACTGGATTTTTTTCTCTTCTTACAAGGTTTTCAACAGTTGAACACCTTGTATTTTGGCACTTGTTTCATGAGTTGAAACATTGGCCTCTGGCTCTCCCCCACCTAGTATTTTGGCACTAGTTTCACGAATTTAAATACTGGCTT